CCATGATCTAAAACATCACCTCCTAAGTGCCCCCACCTTGTAACACCATCACATAGCATTTCAACATATGAATCTAGGGATGACACACACATTCAGTCTATGGGATCATGTAAAAGCATAAGCATGAATTTGAAGAGAAAGTCAACCAAAATATCACTACCTGTGACCAGAGTACTCCTTCAGCCTTCCTCAGTTTTGTTGAACAAGCATATACTTGTTTAGCAACTCAGGTCTAAGATGCACTGTCTCCAATGCCACACAGGGTAAGCATAATTTTTCCAAGACTTCCCTAATGCTCGCTCAAGCATGTGTCAGGGATTTTTGAGACACAAGTAAAGGAAGTCCATCTCAGAAGAATTTAAATCAAAAAGGGAAAGTCTTGGTTCATTCAAAAGGGAACCGCAGGCCCACGTCAGGACCAGAGAGATACAAGGGCTCAAATGATGTGATCAGAAGTTTGTTCTACTCTGTGAATTCCAACTGTGTTTTTCTGTAATCTAATGGTAAAAATTTCGGAAGCAGGTGCCAGATTTAAAAACTGTATCTACCACTTCCTAGATATTTGGCACTAATCAAACGTCCTGACTTCACCTGGTCTACATTTCTGTCTTTTAATCATAAAAATGGGGGTAATAATGTCCACCTCCTAAGCATTTTTGGAAAAGCAGTCAATTTAAAACATATAAACTACCTACCCCCAGAATTATTATTGATATCATGCAGGATCTTTCCATAGGGAGGCAAAGATGCAATTATGCACCCCCTCCTACCTCACACCATACCTCTTACAACTAGAAATCTGACTTCCATATTGGCCCCAGAGAAGGCTTTCTCTGGATTGAAAATGACTAGTGACTGGATGGGGCAATATCCCACATTTCTGATAGTGGAGTCCCCATAAGCAGGGCCAATCCAGAATCAGAGAATGTGATTCACATGCATTATTTCCCTATGAAACTTCTAGCTTCAAAAGAAAAACACACAGAGGCCCTCCCTGGTGGTGCAGCAGGTTAAAGCACAGCACTGAGAATCTAAAGCCACTTCCTCGTGAGTTCGATTCCCACCTGCCCCGGAGGTGACCACATGGCGTGGCAGACCTCTCCTGACCCGCCCGCTGCTCCCCTCAGCAGTGTACTTCATCGATCTGCCTGTTCTGCTCCCCACTCTGTCTCTGGTGAAGCCTCTCACTGCCCCCTGAGCCTCTGGCCTGTACCCCAGTTCTGTATGCACAAATAAATAAATCTTTAAAAAAAAAAAAAAAAGAAAAGAAAAGAAAAAGAAAAATACACAGAGAGAGAAGTCTAAACTCTTTTATTAAAGTGACACTAACACTGGAAGCAATCAGAGGAGTCAGAATTGTATGCAAAACTTCTCTATTGGCACTTGAAGAAATTCATTTGAATTCAAAGCTCAAAGAACTAAAGAAAACTTGCTTGTGAAAAAGTAGGAAATATCGCCCAGCAAGATTTCACCATGCACTGGTAAGTTCGTGTAAACTTGGTACTTGAGGTAAACCAAATAATCAAAGGCTCTGAAACCACCACTCAGTCATTTCCATGGCCGAAGATCTAAAAGTACAGTGCATCTAGTAAAGATGTATTTTAGCAAATGGTTTTCAGGCCACTTGTTAATTTATATCTATAAATATTTGGAATTATAATATATTCCTAACATTTGACATAGCCTAGTTACAATTTTTTTCTTTTTTCTTCCTAAGACTTTTTTTAATTGCAGTAACACTGATTTACCATACCATAGATGATTTAGAGGTACAGACTTCAAGTGTGTTACCACAACACATCTACCAAGTAGTCACAATTCTATAGACTAATGGACCATTAAGTATAATACTGCTCCGTTTTTACTTTTTTTTATGATTTTATTATTCTGGTTCAGGTCAATTAAAAAAAATACTTATTCTCACACAGACAAGTACAAAGAGCAGGCTGGAATTTAACTTTGCTTTTAGCATTTTCACTTGGGGGCCTCAAATATTTTCAACTATTAATACTCACCTTGGGAGCACTTAACATCAATGAAACAAGTTTATTTTGAGAAAGACAGTCAATATTCTCAAAGGCCATCATCCACCTTTGCAGATGTGCGAGCCCTTTAAGTTAGAGGTAAAGTACTGATGGTTTCAAGTTTCTTAAATGTCTCAATTTGCAATCCAATCAGCACAGATTTAAATATCTGCAAATTGTAACATAAGGTTTAGGTTATATAAAGTGATAGCAAAATTTTACCTCATCTGATTTAATAGTTTTTTCCTAGGTCACATGTTCATCAGGCTGGGATGTGTTTATAGAATACAGGCGGAGCAGCGTGGTGGAGAATCCACACTCAACGGAATACTGCTCCAAGTCACTCTTCCTGCCTGATGTCCGGTGAAAGTCAAAATCCCCTCAGAGTTCTGCCAAACGCATAGCATCACCCTGGACTCCAAGTTCATCTTCAGAATGGGGTTCTCTCAGTGTCAATCCCCCCTTTACCTCCACAGGTCTATTTGGCTGCCCACTTCACATTTGAGGGTTTTTTTAAGAAGGAAAACCTAAGTTTTCAATTTACAATTGTGTTACCACATATTCCACATGTTTCAGATACATTATATGAAAATAAAATTATATAATCCACAGACAATCACAGATACTTTCAAACACTTTACATTTGCACTAAGGGTAACTCAGCTTCTCATTGCTAACTTAACCTCAAATAAACTATGTCTGGTTATCTGAACTATCTTTAAATTATTCAAGTTGTTCAGCAATAATCCTGGTGCATGGTAGGATTATACTTCTGATCCTGCTGAATCTATCGGGGGTAAGTGACTTGCTTTGGTCACTGAGTGTGAGCAGAGGTGTCACCTCCATAAGGAAGCCTTAAGAGCCAATGCCACTTCACTGCATTATTTCTTTGTCTTCCACAGAGATCACAGTGTTCACAATGTGGTCACTCTACCAGCCTAGGTCCCTAGATGAAAAAAATACATGAGCAAGAATCAGACATGTAATTTTAAATCATTGCACATTGGGACTTTTTGTTAAAGCGACACAACCAAGAAGAAACAGCACAACCTGATTGTTACACCAACCCTATGTAGAAAAGAAATATTGGCACACATTACCACAATCCAAAATACAAGACATTTGGGGTTTAATCTATTATGCAATCCTCACTCACTGTTATCAATGGAGTCTTGAAAATGAGACTTTACCAAAAAGATTTATCATAAAACTAACTTTAATTTTGCCTTAGGTAAACTGACCTAAACAAGAATTAAGTGTTAAGTCACAGAGACATCATCAAACTTCTAAATAAAGACCCCCCAACACCTCTGACATTCAACAATAATTTGTACTGATCTCCAACCCACTAATTCCAAGTCAGGGTCACAAACGACCAGAACCTATTCTGGCGGCTCAGAGCATGAGGTAGCACCCTGCTCTGGGCAGAACGCCATTCCCATGCAGGGTGCTGTCCCCTCACACCACCTTCACAGCCACTCAGACTGGACAACTTAAACACAACGGTGACCCTGCCATGCACATCTCTGGGAGGTGGAAGGAAACTAGAGAGCCTGGAGAATTTCCACACAGACATGAGAACAGCACAGGCAGTGGAATGGATATTTTCCTCACCAACATTTTAGCTAATTGATGTTGAACAACACAGTGATATTCAAAGAACTGCTGTACATTACGTAGACACATAAGGGAAAAAAAAAAAATATATATATATATATAATAGGCACTCATTAAAATAGACTTCTCTCCCTCCCCATCCACAACATGAACCTCCTCACATCAAGTGGATAATCTGAATCTTACCAACAAGTGCTTGACAGTGGACTATGGTGGCCTCCGTGGTATTTTGTTGGTGGGGACCACACCTGAGAGGAGACATCCTACACTGTGAAGATGTTACCAAGGATGTAAAACAATGGTACTTCATTCAATAAAAAATGAAAATAAGTGTTTGAAAATCTCAAAGAAACACAGAATTCCTCCACCAAAAAGTCTCTGACCCATTTATCAAAATCATTTGCAGAGTTCCATTTCTTTTCTGAGCTCAAATGCATTAGTCAAATACAGGGCTTCAAAGGGGCTTCATTTTGAGTGACCCAACAGACAAACACATTAGCCGCCAATGGTTCCTTTGTAATTGAAGTGGGCCTGGCTGACCCGAGGGGAGAGGACTAAATGAAAAAAGAAAAAGTGTAAGCAAAAGCAGCATTTGGGGGCTGAAACAAACCAATAAAGCAGACTGTTTCCAGGAGTGTGAGCCAAGCACATGTGTATTTATTCGCTAATAAGAAGATGCAGACATCCCACATCTGATTGACTTCTCATATGCTACAACCATAAAAATGTGTGTGTCTGGAATACACATGTGAGCTTTGTGCTCACATATGACAGCTTATAAACCTGATCACACGTAGCCTACCTATGATGTACGAAAATGTTTCCCTCGGGAACACTAACTCTGGAAGGTTTTCTTCTTTATTGCGAGGACAAATTGCTCAAGTTTTCTCATTTAAGTATGCGAAGAACTGTCCATTTTTAATCTGCAGAGTTTTTAACCGGTGACTCAGTGAGGAATGATGTCATATGTTATCCTACAACGGCTAGTTGTGGTTCTCTCTGCTCACTTAAACCATCCCCTCCGGTTCTGTGGCAGACGGTGCTCCCCAGCTTCCACCCTCCATCAGCTTCTTCCCAGTCGGTGCAGGCAAACAGCCTGCCCAGCAGTGGATGAAACAGGAAGTCTAACAGCTTCAGTCTGCAGTGGGACCCCTAGTGTTTTCCTACTCCGTGTCCTGGCAGCGTTCCCCAGAAGTACAAACACACACACACACACACACACACACAGAGCTCCATTGTTGCAGCCTTCCCCAGCCCACTGATCCTAATATGGAATGCAGCAGGAAACCCATGATTTCCTGACACTCGGCAAGCTGGAGGAAGCAAGGGGAAACTCCTTTAAAAGCCCAGCTTTCCTCCATGTTAGAAGTGAAGTGAAAATGGGGAAGATTTAGCAAAATTCCATCGTGTCTTCAGTCAGGTTTGAAAGGAGGAGAATGGAGTGAGATCCTCAGGCTGCTGGAATTTCTGGACAGCCAGAAAGCCCCTAGAAGTCAGTGGCAATGAGGTTTCTTCGTTTAAACTGATAAAGGGGACAGGCCCCTTTAACCAGTCCCCCAAGTGTGAGTACCTTTCCTGCTCAGCATGGTAAGCGAGAAGGCACATGCCAGCCTCCTTGGACATAGCTGTGTGATCCCAGACACGGCAAGAGAGGAGCAGTGATCACCAGCCCTGCCACTCACTTCCCGAGGGCTCCCGGGCTTTGGAAGAAGCAGGAGAAGCAACAGCAGCAGCCGCACAGCCCCGGCCAGAGCTGGAGCCGCAGGCATGAACTGCAAGGAGGGAACTGACAGCAGCTGTGGCTGCAGCGGCAACGAGGAGAAGAAGATGCTGAAGTGTGTGGTGGTCGGAGACGGCGCCGTGGGGAAAACCTGCCTGCTGATGAGCTATGCCAATGATGCCTTCCCCGAGGAGTACGTGCCCACGGTGTTCGACCACTACGCAGGTAAGGAAAGGGGGTCCCTGCACGTGGGGTGAGCCAGGCGGGAGGTGACACCGCCACTCCAGGAGGGCCTGGCTTATTGTTGAGGTCAGTATTGAGAGCAGACCTGGGATTGCCAGGTAATTTAGCACAATCTGCTATCAAGGGCTTTGCTGGAATTGTTTGAATAATCAACTTGTGCTGGAGCACTTTTTCCTCCTTCAAGCAAATGAAAAACTCTGGAAAAGTAGTCTGAACTGCCTTCTAGGTTTTCGCTAACATGCTCCAGAAGTTTCGTTGACTTTTGATTGTGTACATTTTGAAATGCTGCTCGTAACTGCAGCATCCTACATTTTTTATTCACCAACCCTATAACGGGTGAAAAGTGTTCTTGCCTCTTTTCATTTATTCATCTCACGTTATCTATAAATTAAAATGCTAAGATTAATAAACATTAGAATACTGCCCCTCACCCCCAACAACTGATGTTATATACAGTACTACATTTTCCTGGAACTGTAGATAAGATAAAAGTTAAGTTTTTTTAATATCTGTTAGGCAATCTATCTGGAACTAGAAGAAACAGTTTTAATTGATATTCTTCAAAGGTAAAAGAGAAAAATAAAATGGATCATTGTAAAGTATGTTCCATAAGGACAAAAATGGGTATAAAACACTGCAAAGCAGTTATCAAAATACTGTTAAACAGTTAAGAGGTGGTAGCCATAACTTGTCTTTCAGTTATATATTTTTGAGTGTCCTCAAGTTTGTGGGTGTACTTAGCATGGTGTTAGGTGGTCTAATGTTTTCCATTTTGACTTTAATTTTTCTCTTGATTTCAAAAACAAGTCCTAAATGTCTCAAAACCAAGTTCATAAAATTGTTCAAGTTTACAGAAACCAAAGGTTATGATTTTTTAACATAGCTTGGTGAATGACAGAGATCTGAGACATAAAAAAGAGGAAAAAGTCTCTTCTTCCACCTGGGCGCTGGGTCAGGTTCAGCAGAGGGGAAGCAGCCCCAGGAAGCCGGTGTGAGTGTTGGCTTTGTAATGTGGCCATTTGAAATCCTCTTTCCGTAGGAAGTGGCTTCTCTCCCAGAGTTAAACAATCACCTTCCTACATGTGCATGATTTATGAAAATATGACACAGCAGACAGGGAGCAAACTACAGTAAACATCATATCCAGCAGGTTTTCCTACATTTGTAGAAAGGAAGAACATATTTTCATGCTGGCTCCCTTAAACTTTTCTGAAAATAAATGCTCAGAGAGGAACATTGTAATGAGACCAAAATAAAGAGAAACTTTACCTTTAATAAAGAACTTGCATCTTGAGAACAATCTAATTATAAAATTAACGGGTTTGTATCTTTAAAAAATTACTAGTATACTTTGTTAATCTCTTAGCAAAGTTTATTTATTTTATACCTTCTTTCTGGTAAAAGAAAATGGTTGGCACCTAATTTTGAAAATTTTTAGATAAAATACTATCCAAAAATAAACAAAGATGTAAGGAAAATAAATAATTTTTAAATAAATTAAAACTTTTTAATTAAAAAAAAAACTTAGATCAAGCAGAACCCAAAATATATTAAAGGGAAAGGTTCAATTGCTTTTAAAAATTATGTCTCCCAATCCCCATCAACTGGGTGAACCAATTACACTTCAGTGTCAAGAAAGAAGAGGACAAAACCATCAGTAGAAATAAAGTGAGCTATTCAAAAAACAGATATCAAATACTGAAACACTGCACGATTCTACAAAGTAATGCTTTGTACACAGTGGACATTCTCAAATATGTTTACTTTGATTTAACACGTTGTGCTTTTTTAAGTACCCAACCTTCTCACATACTTTGTTAAGTAGTAAAGAAAACACAGGTATGAGCCATATACAACTAGAATCATATGAAGTGAACATTTCCATTAATAGAGGGATCTTCTCCATCACACTCTGGCTCCTGTTATTACCATCTTCCCCACACATGATTTCATTAAAACGAAATTCTTAGGCAGTCACATGAGAACCAGCAATCAATTATAAAAGAACTAATACGTCCTTCTCCATGTGGAGAAATACCTGTTTTCCAGGCCCTGTGTCCTACTAGCACACTCACAAAAGACAATCCACAACTGGGTTTCTGAATCTTTAGGAAACTGCAATTAAGTCAAAGAGCCTATCCATTGAAGAATTTTCCCTAATTGTTGTCCATCTGAGGGTCTTACAGATAGAATAGTAAGGATGAAAATGCAGCATAAAGTTCTACATTGTGAGCTCTGAAGTCAGGCAAACTAGTTCTAATACTGGCTGTGCCTATACTGTGTGGTCTTAGACAAGTTACTCAAACTCTCTGTGCCTCAGTTGTCTCAAAGTTTGTGAAAATGAAATTAATACCAATAAAGCTCTTAAGTGGAGCCTCACACATGTGTATGTTAGGTACATGAAAGTTCTTATTATTAAGAATTATTTTAAAACACAGATATGAAAGGAAATTACAATGAACTTAAAACATGAAGACTACAAGGGAAATATATCTTCCAAGAAAGTATCTTCCAAATGGAGTAGGATATAATGGAAGATATGGATTGGTCTTACAATATACTCACCATGTGAAGAATGTCAATATGGAGGAATATTCACTTGAGATATTTTCTTGGGAGAGGAAATATTAGCTTTACCTAAGTGCAGAAATATCAAGAACCAACTAGAAAAAAATCTTGTTTAAGTTTTATGACTCTTAGTATGTAGAAAACATTCTCTTCCACCTACCTGCCAGAATTCAAAAGTTCATCTCTTCCCTGTAACTCTTCTTGACTCCTCAAAGAGAGGTCCTTGTTCCATCTCCACCCCAGCTCCAGAAACTATTAAAAGTTTCTATAACACGGCCCTCCCTGGTGGTGCAGCGGGTTAAAGCACTGCACTAAGAAGCTGAAACCACTTCTGCATGAGTTTGATTCCCACCTGCCCCGGAGGAGACCACATGGCGTGGCAGACCTCTCCTGACCCACCCACTGCTCCCCTCAGCAGTGTACTTCGTTGATCTGCCTGTTCTGCTCCCCACTCTGTCTCTGGTGAAGTCGTTCACCACCCCTGAGTCTCTGGCCTGTACCCCAGTTCTGTATGCATAAAATAAATAAATCTTTAAAAAAAAAAAAAGTTTCTATAACACAACTGCCATCACATTGCATTGGCCTGCTGCCTTATGGTTGAACCCCAGCCGACCCCACCCCCATTACACTGTGACCTCCCGGGGGTCAGGGTCACATTTTTCTGAAACCCACTTAGTTCTCAGTTCTCTATCTCATTTGATCTCACAGAGGCTCATCTTACAGGTATTGCTTCTCTCTCTTGAAACACTTTGTTGGCTCAGTTTCTGGGGTGCCACATTCTCCTGGATTTCATTCTTTCACTGGCATTTATCTTCCATCTCCTCTGCTGCTTTGTCCATCTCTTCCCAATCACTAAATGATGTCACACCTCAAAGTTCAGTCCCTTGATTCTTTTTTCTCCATTTGTGCTATGCCTGCATTGATTATACCCAGTGCAGGCTTTAAGTATTATTTATACACTAGTGATTCACAAATGTACATTTCGAGCCCCAGTGCCCTCTTGAGAACCAGAATCATATATCTAGATATCTAATCTAATCCCACTAGATATCTAATCAACATCACAAACTTATCCTCTCCAACAAAGAATTTTTTAATTCCCCCAATATAAACTCCTCCCTATTCTTCACCGCAGAAGTACCTGATCAGTATCTTCTACCAAGTTGCTCAGGATAAAAATTTTGGTATTATCCTTGACTCCTTTCTTCCTTTGACAAAAACTCCCATCCTCTCCATTCAAACCACTGTTGTTTCCCTTCCTACTAACAGTCAGCTGAACATTCAAAATATATCTCAAACCTGACCACTTCTCACCACCTGCATTGCCTTCTTTCTTGTCTAAATCACCATCATTTCTCATCCAAATTATTATAGTTACCTCCCTGTTTTCTTCCTGCAATAATAGCCCCTATGACAACTCTGCACAACACTAGTAAAGGAACTATCCACAACCACAAATCTTCACATCACCTCCATTCACACTCAGCTCTTCCCCCCTTTTTTCTTTATCATAGTCTACATGGCCTATAATTTGGTCCCTTTTATTTCTTCAACCTTATCTCCTAAATTCTCCACTTCAATATTTCTGTTCCAGTCCCACATATTAATATTTCTCCAATACACTAAGCTCCTTTCTTCCTTGAAGATTTTGCACCTACTCACTCACCCCCCAGCCTGATACTGTTCCCCCAGATCTTCTTCCACTTGAATTGACCACATTACTTTACCAGTCACACACACAAACACAGAGTCACTCTCTAATCTACTTCCTGCTACATCCTTTTCCATAATACTTTCTACCTGACATTGTGTGTGTGTGTGTGTGTGTGTGTATGTAGCATTTGTTTTACGGGCTATAGGATCAAGTTTCCACAAATGTGTTTTCATACCTTCCCCACCACCAAAGCCCCAATAATCCTCCACTGTGCTCCACTGGGGCCCCTCTGTCCCCATATTCTACCCTCTCTTCTGGTTGCCTCAGTTTTGCAATTAGATGTCAAGGATTTGTATTTCATTTGGTTCTGTCTAAACTTTGTTTTGTTTTTCTATATTCCACATCCAAGTGAAAACATACAATATTTCTTTTCTCCTGTCTTCACTTAGTATTATCTTTCCAGTTCCATCTATACTGTGGCAAATGGCATGGCTTGCTACTGTTATCACATTCTGGAATATAAGCTCCCTGAGGACTGGGCCTTTGTTTACTACTCAAGCCTCAACTTCTGAAATAGATCCAGCATACAACAGTAGACTCTCAATAGAGAGTGTGTGAATAAGCAAACCAGTATATCTTTTTTTTTTTTTTAAGATTTATTTATTTGTGCATACTTAACTGGGGTTCCAGCCAGAGCTGCAGGGGTGGTGAGAGGATTCACCAGAGACAGTGGGGAGCAGAACAGGCAGATCTTGGAAGT